TGTAAATTTCCCCCAGAAAATTCTCCCCATCTAAGTATTATAGTTGCTAAGAAAACTCGCCCCCCTTTCGTAATCATCGCACATGGAAAATTTTCTTAGCAGGAACGACACAAACACTTTCGGGAATTATACTAAGGGAAATATTTCTGATAATAATCATCATAATATTTATTTTCCCAACAGATAAACATCCACTAATTGGACAAAACAAAATACATTTAACAAGCAATGACAAAATTAAAAATAATCAAAGAATAAACATACAAATAAAACTTAATCTTAATATTTTAAACTGAATAGAAATAGAACTATATAAAAAAGGAGCTGTACCAATATGTATTCTGATGGTATTTTCCGAATGAAGTAACTGCCAGGAAGATAATTCAGAGTTCCCTTCTATCTTTGTGGCAAGCCTTTTGCTAATTACGAATTATTAATAATTTCAAAGTGCCAAATGAACTCTTCCCCAGGCGCTCTAGGTATTGGCTTTGAAGCAAAACTAACATTTTGAACTGAAAAAATCGGAACATCTAACTTTCCACCTTCCCAGTACTTTTCTAAATTGCTTTTTCAAATAGTTACCACATTACCACAACTTAGTAAGAAAGTTCCATTATTGTATTTTAGAGCGCCCTGCGATAACTGAATGTAACTAAAAGTAATTTTCCATAACTTTACCTAAAAGCTCTTTCTCAGACATAGGCACCTGCCACCCTTGTTTGGGCACTCGGTATAGGTAATATGCTCTCATACGTCTCCCAATTGTGCCAAAATTTCCCTGCATTCGGGCATCATGGTTCATTCTGAAAGCAATTCATTTTTCACCTTTAAGATACACATTGATTGCTCACGTACTCATTCGGTGAGTGTCTACCTACTGTAATTCGATGTCGTCAACATCCCGTTTAAGTTTGAATGGCACTCATCCGTGTCAATTATCTCTAATAAAGGGGGAATCGCTTTCAAACCGTTTATATTTATAAGCAGCAGGTTTCCACTTTGATCTAAGCTCCTCGCCCATCCGAATTTAACCACCTGTGGGGGTAACGTTTTCCTCCCTCGATAGTTTGACCACAACTTCGAGCTTTACTACATTAACTTAACTAGGAAATTAGGTACAGTTTATTGGAAATTTCCTACGATCCGAAGGGACAATCCTCATGCGAATATTATTCAATTATTTATTGGAATTATATCGATTCTACATGAACGGCACGGCACGTTTTAAGTCAAAAGCTTAATGTATTTGAGCGAAATTTGCAATTCAATTGAAGTGTACGGATGACGTTGGGTCGGCTTTCTACATTTATTTAAAACTGACCACAGTTCACTGTTCGAAATGGTTGAAGTTTGTAAATTGTATGGTGGTGGGTAGATGAGGGTGTAAGGAGTGGGGGGCACTTTCAGGCATTCGTAACTGGACTGACTCATTAGCAGCGGCACGCAAGTTTGCCGAACATTCCTCGCATACCAAGTAGCTGCATATTTGACCCCTACTATGGTATCGTTCGTTTAATGTTCAGATTCCCTCTTTTGCCTCTATCAAATGTGTACATTCGCATGCCTAGAATATTAAGCGGCCCATTTGGGTTTTGTCATAAATGCAAACGACACGATTGTTTATGCGATTACTCGACGAATTGACAAATTTTATCTTTTCATTCAACTCCGTTGCGGTCCATTTAGGCACATAATGTTTGACAAGATTCCTCCTTTAATTGCCGCGTTTCCACTGTTTGCTCGCTCGCTACGGCCTTATAATCTTAAAGAGGAACTTCTAGTAGATGGATCGACCGGATTTTTCCCATTGCGGATGACGGCGATAGGGAACTAATCCCTTCGGTTTGAGATAACTACAACATTAACGCGGAAGATGTGATCTATATGATTTTAAAAAATCAAGTTCAGGTATCGCCAAGTGCGGGATGATTTCAGATTAGACCCAAATGCAGTAAGTACTTCAAGATAAAATACCCTTCACTGACTATAAATCGTACCTATTACTTATTGAAGGAATTACTAACCGTACTGCCCTTTTTAAAATTGCAAAGTTCTTCTTATCCATTTTCCAATGCCATCCCATCAGCAGCTTACTGTTTTGAGCGTTTGTTTCTGAAATAACAAATATTTACGCTCTGAACGTATTAGGTACTACGAATAAACTATACCGTATGGAATTGAAGGAAATTACTTTTTCTTGGTGAACCGATGGTATTTTTGGGTTATACAACTTTTGGCGTAGAATATCGCAGGGAGACTTACGGAAGTTAAGCTTCTATAGTTGTTCGTAGGGAATGCAATCCCGCAGCAAAATCTCAATCCCGGTATTTGCGGGATCTCGGAAAACTTTAAATAAATTTGCAAAAAAGCTTCTAAAGTGCCTCAAAAATCATAGTACATTTTTAACGAAAAAAGTTTAACAATTATTTAAAAAATAATTCGCCGTTATCAGTTTCATTAACAAAGTAAACAGAGTCGTCCCCTTGGTCGACAAATTCCTCAGTCCCGCAAATCCCGCGGGATCCCGCTCCATTTATGTGCGGAATTAATCTCGCAAAAATGCTGCGGGATCCCGGTATTTCGGGATCCCGCAATCCCGGTATTGCATTCCCTAGTTTCTAGTCTATAACTTTTGATTGAGAAGTCTGATCGAAAAAGTACGAATTGTTTTGGATTCTACGCACCAAAATTAATAAGAAAAGTGTTTTCCCGAGAAATTTTGGTGCAGTCGATTTTTGGTAAAAAAGGAAGGTTATACACTGCCTTTTTTTGAAGCCCTCAAAAAAAATTGTCTCAGATCGACCCGGAAAAAAATTTTTCTTATAGAATGTGGTTTGTAGAATCCATAATTTCAAACAGTTCCAAGATTGGGCTACTAGTTCAAAAGTTACAGCCCTTTGAATTTTCTTTCGAAATTGATTTCTAGTCTATAACTTTTGATTGAGAAGTCTGATCGAAAAAGTACGAATTGTTTTGGATTCTACGCACCAAAATTAGTAAGAAAAAGTGTTTTCCCGAGAAATTTTGGTGTAGTCGATTTTTGGTAAAAAAGGAAGGTTATACACTGCCTTTTTTTGAGCCCCGAAAAAAAAATTTTCTCAGATCGACCCGGAAAAAAAATTTTCTTATAGAATGTGGCCTGTAGAATCCATAATTTCAAACAGTTCCAAGATTGGGGTACTAGTTCAAAAGTTACAGCCCTTTGAATTTTCTTTCGAAATTGGTTTCTAGTCTATAACTTTTGATTGAGAAGTCTGATCGAAAAAGTATGAATTGTTTTGGATTCTACGCACCAAAATTAATAAGAAAAAGTGTTTTCCCGAGAAATTTTGGTGCAGTCGATTTTTGGTAAAAAAAGGAAGGTTAAACAATGCCTTTTTTTGAGGCCCGCAGAAAAAATTGTCTCAGATCGACCCAGAAAAGAATTTTTCTTATAGAACGTAGCCTGTAGAATCCATAATTTCAAATAGTTCCCAGATTGGGCTACTAGTTCAAAAGTTACAGCCCTTAGAATTTTCTTTCGAAATTGGTTTCTTTTCTAGTCTATAACTTTTTATTGAGAAGTCTGATCGAAAAAGTACGAATTGTTTTGGATTCTACGCACCAAAATTAATAAGCAATCTGGAAAACAGGTAGAAAAATCGAAATTTTTAGGACCATTTTGACCCAAATATCAGAAATCGAGGTTTTTCTATTCCGGTCTCATTTTTAAAAACGTGAGACCAGACGCTTGAACGGCGAAAATCAGGCATTTTCGACGGAGAATACGCCGGGGTGGTCAAAAAACTGCAATATTAGACGCCATCTTGAATATGTCCCTTCCGGTCCTTGGCAACAGGCAGAATCGGATTCAGCGGGGTTGAGAAAGGGAGAAATCACGTCTCAATTATTACACAAAATACTTCTTGCATGAGCAAGGAGAGCTTTCGCTGGCAAGTGACTCTGACTGGTGATAGCCATCCTTATGTATTGGACATAGTCATTGCAATAAAAAATTATTCAATGACATAGTGAATTTCCTGGGTTGTTTACGAACTTTCCCTGGGTGAATATTTAGTGCCGACTTTAAAAGGGCAAGAAAGCTGCTATCATTTGAATCGGACTGATTGACTTTCTGTTAGTTGTCTTCAACTTGATGTTACCGTAAAAACAGCCCTGAACCATCTACCTAGGGACTAAAGCAGTACCTATATGAATTCTTGAAAATACCTAAATTTTTAACCACCATCTTTGAGCATTTCGGGATTTGTTACTTTGCTCATCTTCTTTGAAGGAAACATATGCGGTTATACTATGAATACAAACCACCCCTACTCGTCCACTCAAAACCATGAACGAAGTGGAAACGCATAGAACCATTCGTAATGAACTAAGGACTAAAAAAAATGTAAAAAGAGTCTTTCGTACTAATAAATTCTAATAGGTATATTTGAACTAACTGGTGATGCTTATTTACTTTAATCCAGTGCACTATGTCAGATCAACGGTGAAATTGATATCATGCAATTAATTTAGTCATAAACACTTCATGTGTAATTCTCATTGCTAATGGGCCGAATCGATATTGTACTTATTTAATATGCAGTAAATATTTGGTGAAGCACCACTGACCATGAAATCGCTTGTTTAATCGTATCATGATAAAAGGTATTCACCTTCACTGTTGTACCTACACGAAATCCAAGAATATGAAGTAATTTTGGGAGGGAGTGTAGTTTCTGTAAACGCAAAGCACAAATTAGGAAAATGCAACGGAGTAGTATTGCAAGAAGACTTAGTCTTTGTGTATTACTGGTTTGCTAGGGGCAACTCGCCTTTTGGAAAACACTTCCACTAGACCAACCGCAAAGTCCGACTGTCGAACAGTGGCTTTGTGAGATTTTCGATTTCGTGCACCGGGTTACACCATGTCGAGGTCAATCTTTTAACGTCAGAATTTCAAAAATTCCATTAATACCTTCTTCTACTTCTCCTTCACGTAGCCGAGTATCTAACAGCTAGAGCAGGTTGTCCGAATGCCTCACCACCGTCTCTTTTCATATGGTTCACAGGTTTACAAGCTAATTTGCACTCACCTAGTGTATACATTTGACAACAAGGCAAATCAATGGTACTTATCGAAATCCAATTATTTTGCACTGACCGTGACAAGGAAAATCACCTACAAATAGCATACCAAATGGAACTGCGCTCAGTTGCAAGAGAAAAATGCAGTTGATCTCACCGTACATTGCATTGTTACTAATGGCCGTTACGGCGGCCCGTGCCCAATTCAATTTAATGGATGTGCTCGGGGGTATCACGGGAGGAGGCTCCGACGATGATTCCGAGGACGATTATGGCGACTACATGGGACTGGTTCAAGATCTAATTCAGGGCGCTACTAAAATCGCAGAGTCCGTTGCGTCCGGATTTATGGCGTCTTTGAAGGATAATTCGATGGATGTAGAGACTCGAATGCAGTATAGTAACGGGACCGATTTGAGTTATCGCACGGTCGAGGATTTTAGCAGAAATATCACATTGCACAATATTCAGTCGGTCAAAATGATCTTGCAGCTGATTCACGAGTCGTTTGTTACGCGAAATGGCGAGCAAATGCAAGATGCAGTTTTCGATCCGATTGCAGCGATATTGCAGGTATTTTTTGTAATCTTCACTTCATTTTAGACGGTTACGTTATGTGCAGGACACTGACGGTGACATGATGTGTAAGACCAATCAGTCGGCGCAACAGCTCGTATACGGCATCTACTCGGCCATCCAAAGGATCGAGCAAAAGGGATTCCTAATTCTACAGTTTTCCTACACGTTGCTTAGACTATACAACGACGGCAAGGATGACAAGAGGTACATAAAAAAAGCGGAGCAGGTTAGAAATTTACAGGTGAAACGAGCGTTGGAACTGGCCAAGGTTGCCAAAAAACTTCTGCCGACCCTCTCGAGAGAATTTCGCAGATGCGATCCGCTCGAACACGTCGCGGGCAGAACGTACTTGGAGATTACCCAATTGCTGCAGGGCCATATACAGAACATAGTCGATTTAAATAGCAAGGGATCGTGTCTAGGTAATTGTGGCAGCTACGCGTTGACAAAGAGCTACGGCTGCCAAGATGATCGCTCTTGTAGTAAGCTGCATCAGTGCCGTGGAAATATCATGAGTTGCAAATTTATTGATTCCGATATGCAAGTCTGTCCAGCAGTAAGTGTGCCGCCATTTTTCGAGTAATCGTAAACGTTGTACATATAGGGGAACGACACTAACCGACGGTATGACTACGTTGAGTATGCAAATGGTCGTCTTCTTGGGCAAAAGCATGAGTGTCGCAATAGTATCTTTAACGTGGCCAGTTGGTGGTGGCTAATTTCTCACTGCACTTACTGCTTCTGCTTATGCGACGAAGAAGGTGCTAACTCAGATCGATACTTTAATTTACGCCCAGTATTTGCTGATGTATTGAACAACATGGTGGTGACCGGTCTACGTTTTACCAAAGTCAATCGCGTCATCCACCTACAAATTCAGGAGGGTCAACTGTTGCCAAAAGGCGAAATTGATAACAAGACTCTTCGCTGGGTTCCAGTCGACGGTTACGACATTAACGATGGTAATGTGATCAACGGCCGCGATTATCACACTCTCACTTGGGAGCAACGCAGCGTTGATCTCGACGATTTAATAGCCGAAGACGAGCATGTTCTTACAGGTAAAAACCTCAAATGGACTCTCGGTCAAGTGTCTCCCTTCACTTTCAGGCGTTCACTTCCAAATCGTCCGTGGACATCTGAACCTCCAAATTTTAGTAACCCCGTTCGACCACGAAAAAGGGTTGTTAATTCAGCCAGCACAACTTGGCAGATGGGTAAACGGTACCACAACTAACAGGTCGGTATCACAGACCAGCGCCAGTTAAAATTGCGTTGTATTCTGCAGAACCGAAGTTACGTTGGACAAACCGGGAGTACCCGCTCGCGCCGGATCGGCTTGTTGGCCCGATTCCAAAACTGGGCAGTACGTAACCTTTACACACACGGATTTAGAGAGCGATGCCGCCCAGACTACTGTGCCGTTCTTGGATGCTCAGCCTGTTGTTCCGAAAACTGCCGTACCCTTGGCGGGCGCGGGGCTCTATCACAGGGGTGAAAGTAGTTCGGGTGGTTTCATTGCGCCAAAAATTATTACGTATGACTTCGGAATGCGTGTGGAACTGAAGCTTTTGGGAAAGTAAATAAAAAAATGTGATTGGCTTATATAATTGACAATAAATTGTCTGCTATTAGACTCCCGCTAAGTTCTCAGATTTTGGAAATTCTTGTTACTGATAGGAGGCGGGGGATAATTCATGGGGATCCTACTCCGCGCATGTAAGAAAATGTTTTGCTTGAATTTTCCTAAAAAGTACATTATTCCACGATCGCCTAATTTTAAGAAAGTCTTCGAGAAGGTTTTTAGCAAAGACATTTAAAAAGTCTCAAAGAAGTTTTAGAATGATTTCCCTAGGTATAGGTATATTCTCCTATGAGTACCTGAAACACTGTTTTTAAAGAGATTTCTAAGACCACAGGAGTGACTGAAAGATCCGTTTTCAAAAACCTAACACTTAGCGGTCGAGTAATAAGTCAAAAAAAGGTGTGCAAATAGTCACATTCATAGGAATTATCTCAAAAACGAAGCGATCAGTATTTTCCATGTTAAAGTTACCTCATGACGAGCCATATGTCTTTTAAAACGGATGTAATTTGCTCCATAAAACGGACTTCGAGGCAGAGTCAAATAAAAAACGAAGACGCATTGACAACCACCGCGTAAAAAGGACACATATTTCGTTGACTCCAATCGTCCAGATAAATTCACTAGATTAATAAAAACTAATATATATTTGGGAATTAGAATCTTTTTAACAATTTGAAAAAATGTACTCGGCTAAAGAGTAGTAGATAACAATAACCGTTTGGGATTGGAGAATCTGAATTGCGGGAACTATCGAGGTCCTGCGGGCAGCTACGATCCGGCTTTTGCACTTGCGTATTAAGGCGAATTTTCCATTTGCGTTGGGTCCCTTTCTGGTGAACTAGCCAAGTTTATAAATAGCAAGGGAAGAAATCTCGAAAATAAGGAGACACATAAGTAATTTAGACCAATTTCTATGGGGGTCGGGGCACTCGCGGAGAGAAATATTTAGAAGGTACCGCAAAACATTGGATTAATGTATTATTTGTTGTTAATCGCAATGAATTTAGGTATCTTAAGGTGGCCATTAATAATTTCAATTGACTGTTACATAGCGCATCTGTTTTCCATTAAATTATTATGGCTATTTGCGAGTTTCTTCGTTTAGGGATGCATCATGTTGACTTAGGAAGCCTTTAGTTTCATGGTTCGTTCTTGATAAAGAAAAAAAATTAAACAACAAACTCCTATTTATGATACTTTGTTTATTTGGACAGAATTGCTTATTTTAGTATCGTCGGTGTAACGCGCTTTGCATTTTAAATTTTACGAATTCGTATTTCATTTAAATATAGGAAAATTTACTTATGTCGGTACCGCTTCATACGAAAGGTGAACGCAAGTAAGTATATTGACAAGAAATGCGTGCGCTGTTGCCGCAGTTACGGCGGCCCCGGCTAGCTGCAAGGTTACGTAGAATCGTTTTAGATGGAGTGAAGTACGGGCAGATTATTGGATCACGGCGGGCTTGGTCGCGACATTTGCCTTGCTGTGGTCTATTTTACTTGGACACCTACATATTATAAAAAATTAGAGAGAAAAGGGCGCTATCGCAATGCATCCGAGTTCTTCCTGCAATTTTTACGATCGATTTTAATAGGGATCGTCGCAAACAAAGCGGAGGATATAAAATGGGCCGTGCCAATTGTTGTCTGTGGGTCTGAATTGTAGTAGGTGCTAGTTAAACTCGTATATATTTGTGTAATTGTGTGAACAGAGAGTTTTAGTGTTAACGAAATTTCGATAAAATCCATTCGCTTTAGTACACGGCGTAAACACTGTTATCAATACGATTAATTTAATTCAGTTGTTACAGGAGGAAAGTTAATTGTAAAGTGCAAACGTATAAGTTAGTCTAGAAAGGCAAATTCACCGAACGTTCGGTGACCTCATTGTGAAGAAATGGTGACATAAACGGTCTCTGTCGGGGTAAATACAAGCTTCGTTATTCTGAAAATTTCCGAACTACGAGAGGCAATTTTGTACAAGAATAGGTACCATCCCAAGAAAGATCCAGTTTTCAATTTTTCTTGAAGGGAGCTTTTTTCAAGGAAAGGCCATTGTGGCATTAAGCCTATATAAAAACTAGTACTGTAAGTACCAAATTTATGTAGTACTAACGAGAGTCTTTAACCCTTGTAAACTAACCGTTATATCGGTCACCTAACATTTTTAGCATTCATCTGCTCTATGTGATAATATGGTTTAGTAGTGAAAGATCGTTTTTTAGGATTCTTACAACATTCCGTCGTATGAAATTAAATCCAATTTGGTTTGAGAAACAACAAAACGTATCTTTGGTGGTACAAAAACTTGTACCTGATAATCGCGTGGCTTTGGCGTGTTCCTTTCTTTTCTCGCTGAAATGTGGGCCATTTAACATCGGTGCAAAAGTAGTTTTACTATGAACACGAGTGCGGTAATTTCTTTAGGTAAGAATCATTTAAATTATATCCTAACAGTATTATAATTTAGAATGTAAGCTAATCTTCTGTCATGTGCACTTTTCTTGTGACAAAAAGCAAGAAATTAATTTTGGGCATCATTAGATCAATAAGAAGTAGCCAAAAGAATCTCCAACCGAGGATATCATACCTTTGTTTCTATTGGCTATTTCTTAATGACCTAACAATAGTCAAGTAGTGATAATAATTGTATAAACCCTCCATAAAAGCTGGCATCTCGGACTTTTGTTCATCTTGTCTCGATACCCACGATTATAAAGAAACAAGAATTCTAGTCCGGAAGTTCGCTTTAGTATCAATCCTTGAAGGGGAAATTAACCACTAATTAAAACTTTGTTAAGTGACTAATGAAAGTAAATAAGCGGCTCCTTGGTCCAATTTTCATGATCTTTACTCATAGCGCTTCCAGGGTTCACTTAGATAATGTGTTGATTTGGTGCACACGACTGCATTCCCTGAATATTGATATAGCTAGACAGGTGGCAATTAAAACTGCAACTAAACTTTAAAGTTGGATGTATCTTTGACAATTAGAGCTTAGGAATTAACGATTGAAACTTCGCCAAATACACCACAACTGGTTAATCGACAAAAATAATATTTAAAGATTTTACAATTAGACCAACTATAACAGTAGGCTGAGATGGGGCTGCTTTTACCTCATGTCAGCCGCATAATCGGCCGACTAGCGCAGGGTTAGAAAATAAAAGCGCAGTAGGCCGTTCTGGTCGCCGTATGAAAATGAGAAGATACGCGGGAAGTTGGCTAAGAAAATGTGGATTTATCTTCCCGTAATAACAAAGTTCAAACTCGTGTAAATAAACTCAAATCAAAAATTTCCCCCAAAATAATACACAATATCCCGGTAGTCACCATAAATCACAAATTCCCCAATTTACCAGACACTCCAACGAACTCCCCATTCGAGAGTGATCGATTAATAATTATTTCACTATATTTATAACAAAAATGTTCTCAAAAACATACTTCGTTACCAGTTACAAGTTACAATTACGATTCAAAAAGATGTATCCGTTTAAGAGGTAGTTAACGATACGCTTTACAATAAAGAGAAGAAAAGGAAGGTATCCCCTGACTGATTAAATGAATCGGTTTAATCTAGTTGTTCGGATTCTTAATTAGTCTCCCAAGTGTCCATCTGGACGGTGCAATCACGAATGGCATAACAAGATTCTCTTATGCGCCTAAACAAGTTGGTAATTTCACACTGGAACACTCTGGTAGTCTTTTACACCCTCGAGCTGGGCTGGTATTGTTCAGCGGGAGTATCCGAAGTAACCCTCTCCCATTGAACGAGAAGGTGTAGAACCCAAATAATAACGAATAAAGATGATTAATTTACAGTTTAACCGTAAGTGCTTCCTGAGCACAGCGAAAAAGGTCAAATATTAAAGAGACTATTAAATAGTTTGCGCAATTAAACCCTGAAAATTAGCGACACTTCCGCTTTATCGCCGTGTTGAAAAAGAATCTCCTCCGAAAAAACGCGAAAAAATGTTTCATCACTTCGGACTTGTGCGCTCTGACACCAAAGGAATCCGGAAGATGGCGTTAGTTAGACCTCAATTATGCCGCTTAGATGTTACAGTGGTTCTGCGATAAATAATAAAATCGTGCACAATCATAATGCTACGTAATGGAGAAAATAATAGTTACACAACATGGAATGAATGTACCTACAGTCGCAATCGGTACTCCGCGCCGTACGGATCAGTCGAGCGTACGTGTGTGTGTATGTGTATCTTGTATTTGATGGAAGAGGTCGAGGATTTTATCCCATATCCGGAGTTAGCACAGGACCCCAACCCTACTTCTGGATCAGGTGAGCGTTTTCACATTATCTCCTCGTATTGAATTGAGTAAATCGTTAAGTTCATTGCTTTTCCATAATGGCTGACAATAACAATAAGATATTTAAGTACCCATCTAAGTAACAGTAGCGCCAATGCACCTATATTTGCGGCGCTAGTTGAAAAATCCCTTTCGGCTCGGCCGATCGTGTCCGCCATTTTGTTCCAATATGGCTGAATTGGCCACGAACTTGAACGATATATTTATGAGGTACACCAACCCTTAAAGTTTGGATAATTACGAAAGTTATAGTGATATATATAAACCCATAATAATACCGGGTGTTCATTTGAAAACTTCCCACTACGGATTTATAGAAAACCACTGATTAAAGGAAACAACGCAGAGACACGGCAAAAGATGTTTCAAGGACGACCACCCTCTGCCCACAGGGCCATTCCCTTAAACATTTTAAAAGACAAGTGGTATCGAGTAATAGCTTGTTTGAAAGGTCTTTCGAAGTCCTTTATTTTGACATTTGACGGCGTGAGCAATATTAAAGAGCTTGGAAAGTTGTGACAGTTCAAACAGTCTAAAGGGAGTGGTGCGTAGGTCACTATTATGTCAGACAGCAAAAGTGTACTTCAAGCAATTCAGTCAAGCACACGAACCGTTAAACCAGATCCCTTCATTCTTAAAATTCTTTTAAGAATTAATGAACTGGAAGGTAGAGGGACTAGAGTTTCAACTGTATTGGGTTAAAGGTCATATCCAAATTGAGCCGAACGAGAAGGTGGATCGTGTGGCCAAAGAAGCTATCGAAGTAGGGCGGGAAAACACTCATATAATTACAAAATACCACTTTTTGACTTCTTTCAAAGAGGAAATATTAAGGGAAGAGTGGAATACCCACTGGAAATCGGCATTAGAAAGAATCAGACCCCCAATATGCACTTATACGCTTGATGCATTAATAGGTCTCTAATGAAGGTTGAAGGATTTATAGTGGATTACCTATTATAATAAATTTTTTCTTTTTTGGCGATCGATTTCGACATTTATTGTCATCATCTGGCCCTAGCGTCAAAGTTAAAATATTAAAATATAGATGAATGGTGGTAACATAAGTTATTTTTTGTGAGCCGATGTGGATGTAGATGTGGCGGTCAACTGTGTTGTGGCTGTAAAGTGAGGTTTGACGAAATCTGGCCTTTAAAACACAAGTGCTTCAAAGGTCGCTAAGTAATGTTAGCGAATGCGTATTTAAGACTTTGTTCGTAAGATCCTTCCTATTCGTCCACGAAAACAACTTTTCATATTCTTTTAATAGGCTTTAGGGGATTTGGATCTTGGGCCTACCAACTTTTCTTCTGCTTTTGCAACAAGCCATTGAATGGGCGGTGTATTATCTTTTTTAAGTAATTTTATTTACAAAGATGGTGATCAAGTGACATTTCCATGGCAGCATAGCGAACACACTTTGATAGGATACATTCGGTATTGGTAGTATGCTATACGTTTTTCTGTAGACTAATTATATACCTACGTTTAAAATACGATTTTTATTCATATATATGTGACCGCTAACGTTGGAAAAACGTTACTGTACACATTGACGAGTCAGATTAACCGTTCTGATCCGTTAAACTGTGAAATTTCCTTTAAATTAGTAGGAATCTGTAGATTACCTAGTTAATATGCACATTAACACATTCTACATTGTTATAGTGCGAAATTATATTGACAAGAGCAATACAATCACGTGATTCAACGTATACAATAATATGATGCCATTGCAGTAAGGTTCTAAAAATGTTTTACCCAAAATCGTCCTAAAACCTTTATTTTCATGCCTACTTTCTGTCAGGAAATGTTAGGTTCCATGACAGAGGCAGAGCAGACTACATTTCCTGCTACTTGTCACTTTACTAGCCGCATCTGTCACTTTACCAGCCGCACCGTCAGTATACCGGCCGCATTTTTGACATTTCCAAACGTCTATAATGACTCCCGTCATTACTGACAGATTGACATTAATCAAAAGTTCCGTATAAAAATTGAAATTTTATATTAAAATACGATTTCGGCTAAAATTTAATACAAAACTCGTCAGTAAAATGTCATTACCTGACTCGGGAATTAAAGTACTCCTTGCACTTCAATATTTCCTCGCCAGTAATTTGTCATTTTCCGGACTTTTATGTAGGTAAATAACTATTAACTACATACCTAATTTTATAAGTTTGTTTCAAAAACGTTGTAACTAAATAAGATTTCCTATTCCTGAGTTGATTTTTTAGAGAGTATACCAAATTAAAGTTAATTTTAGAAATCAAATATAATAGTCCGGGACCATTTCAAATGCGAATATCTCCGAAACGAATCAATAGAATTTAAAAAGCAAAACAGATTAGTAATCACGATTAAATTGACTTTCAAATAATGTGCCATTTGCCATAGGATCCCATTTAAAATTTTAGGGGTTAAGCTCCCTACGTAGAGGGGTGAAGACTTGGGTTCGTGATTTGTATTCCAAAAGTTGTCCCCCTCGAATACAAAATTGACATGTTTGAGGATTTTTCGAAATTTCTAAATTTAATACCCCAAAAGCCCTCTGTATACTTCTCGTTGGGCCACTCTGTATACATTCTTCTACAATCTCTAGTCTGCCATATATCAATATGTTTGGAGTTTCATTTATTGCTCTTTTTTTTTCATTTTTTTGACCTAAGATGGCATTTACAGTTTGCCATTGTTTTTTTGGTGTCGCCTTTGTTGATTTCAAAAATTGCCTTTTCAAGCTACTCGTAACATTAAAAAAATTCTTTCGCCTCGCCAACACAAAACTGCCTAATACTGTAACTTTATCCCCTTAATAAAAACCGATCATTTTGACTGTAGAATTACATTTTACAGCTTGTATAATACAAAGCATGAAGGGATAAAGGGAGAAACATCTTTCAAAGCGCAACAAACCCCCTAAAAGATATAAATATTCTGATGCGCGAAGTCCGTTTGTATACATGTATAGTAGGTATAACATTAACAAAGTATCGATTTTTGCGGTCGAAGAGAACTGCACTCTTTTCGCGAAGGTCGCAAAGTATTACGAACTTTAAAGCTCGAAGACAATCCGTTTAAATTAAAAAGTAACC